TGACACTTAAGACTGGTTTTGTGGTGCAGGGTCACATATGTGTATTTTTACCGAAGCACTGAGAGTAGAGCTCCCTGCGCACAGGGCAGATGCCCGTCTCTCTGGCCTGCCTTTCCTGCAGGCTTCTGTCCAGCTGTTCTTGCAAATGAATAACGTCCATGCGTGTGCACGGAGCGCTGGACACCGGCTGCACCCACAACTGGTTGTCCTCCATCCATTCCCTTTAACAACCATTTGAAAGATTTATATACTATCTTTCAAAAGTTTGAGGTCGGTAAAAATTTTAAAATTTTAATTTTAAATCTTTTATGCCCACCAAGGCTGCATTTATTTGGTTAAAATATAAACAGTATCATGACATATTACTTCAATTTAAAACAGCTGTTTTTATATTTTATTACATTTTACAATGTAGTCCTTTGATGGCAAAGCTGAATTTTCAGCAGTCATTACGCCAGTCTTAAGTGCCACGTGGTCCTTCAGAAATCATTCTAATATGCTGATTTGGTGCGGAGGAAACATTTTTGTAACATTGCTTAATATTTGTGTGGAAGCCATGATACATAAGCATTCAGAACAGCATTTATGTTCATTAGAAATATTTTGTAATTTTATAGCTGTCAGTCAAAAATCTTACTGACCCCAAACTGTCGGTAACTTAATGAGACGTGATTAAACAAATATGCAACTAAACTACCGTGTTATGGTAGTATCCGCACCAATGTTTAATAAATATGCTAATAACCCTCTTATTTTTATTTTACCTTGGTGGTAGAATGGCATTCAGGATCTCTTCGGTTTGCTGTTTGCTGGCATCCGCTGAAGGGCTCTTGGGTTTGGGTGGAGGAGGGACTGGGCCGCTCTCTACAATCTGTTGGGGACTCACTTTCAAAGGGCGACTCTGAGTGAAATGTGAGACAAGATATGAAAAACTAATATTCAGGCTTCATTACAACAACAAGGTATACTTTACGTTGGTTGCAGGTTTGTTTTTATTTCTAACTTATACATCCAAGAACTGTGCTTACCCTTGGAGACTTCCTCTCTGTATTCTTGCTCACCAACACCGGATAATCATACTTCAGCAAGGAGTCAGTCGGGACAATCATGCTTGTAATGTGGAAGTGTCGAGAAAATGTACAGGAATGTTTCAAATTCTGCGTTTTAGTATAAAGCTTTGGATGACTTCGTGTACCCGCGAAAGTTTCGTTTTGTTGTTTCCCGTTGCTATAACAACCGCTCTTTCCCATCGCGCAGGTCAGTCTGTTTTTATACAGTCTATGGTCAGTCCATGAAAGTGAACCAAACTAATCGGGAGAAAATTATTATTATTATTATTAAATATTAAGTATTTTAAAGGAATTTACATACAAATATATTGTATTGTTCTATTTTTCTAATGTTTATGTTCTAAAACACGAGACAGAACTCGCCACTGGGTGGCAGGCTGTTAAAGCAAAAAGGCTTATCAATGATATCATGTAATATGATATTGAAGTGAATGTGCACATTTTACTGTTTACTTGTTTTTTTACTTATTCTGTTTTTTGTTTTTTAACTATTGTGCTCTAACACGTTTTTATTTTTTAATTCCCCTTTTTTTCCATTTTACATTACATTTACATTTAGTCATTTAGCAGACACTTTTATCCAAAGCGACTTACAAATGAGGACAATAAAAGCAGTCAAAACTAACAATAGAGCAACAATATATAAGTGCAAATGACAAGTCTCGGTTAAGTAGAATTAAAATAGAATAGAAAGTGTTCGAGTTAGAGGGTCAACTAAAGGTGGAACATATGTGTTTTTAGTCGTTTCTTGAAGATGGTTAAGGACTCAGCTGGACTCAGGACTCATTTCATTTAGCTATTTACATTATTTAACCTGTTAAAATTTGTAGCATGTTGTTCACTGTAAATGATTAACATTTCTCTTGTTTCATTTATCTATAAACACTATTAGAATTTGTATATTGAAGCTCTAAAGAAAGCGGAACTAAAATAGCTTTTTTCAAAAAAGGAGGGACACAGTTCTTCAGCGTACAAGCTTCGAACCGGATGTGTTCTTGGAAGTTTCGTAAATGCGGTTTGAATCTGTTTTCATGCTTCCATTTGGTATGAACGACTCTTACTTTTTACGAAGCTAATAGGCAACCTCATTTCACAATGGATAACAGGAGACGACACAGAGAATCTCCTGCCCGGGATGTAAAGACAAAAATTAAGCAAGAAAAAGTGAGTCCCGCGCGTCCTCCGCGGGTCCGCCGATCCAGTTCAGGCTCCAGCCGAGGAAGCAGCAGCCCTCCACCGAGACGACGAGACAGCAGGTGAGCGCCCTGTACCTCACAGCCTGTTTATTTTCATGCCAGCTCCGCCGAATAGAGAGATTGCTCCTATTTTTTAATCTGGACATTCCATTAAAATACTGTAGCATGTGGGGTTGATTAACAAGTCGTTGTAATTGTAGTCAGTAGTTTCATACAAGATGCTTTCTGAACTGTATTTCTAGATCACCTGTCAGAAGAAAGGACAGGTCGCCAGCGAGGAGAGACCGTTCATCGGGCAGACAGCAGGAGAGGTCACCTCGACCCCAGAGAAGTAGAAGCCCACACCGCAGCACCGACGTTAGGATAAAGCGGGTGAGCTAAACTGATACATATCCGCTTGTCTTAAGCTAAGAAGTTACGCAATGTCATGAACTGACAAGAAAGCTGTTTTTAAAGGGGTTAAAAAGCACAGAGGGCTTTGGCACAAAACTTATAGGGCCTTCATGGGGGGAAAATTGCATTATAATATAATTTGACACTTAGATATAGAGCAGGCTATATTATTTAATTTAATTGGTATTGAAACACATTATTATTATTATTGCTGCTGCTTTGTGTGTATTTTGGTATTTTAGGATATTTAATGAGCAAAATTCATTTTGTTTACAAAATGTTATGTACAGTTACATTACAACATATATATATATATATATATATATGTGTGTGTGTGTGTGTGTGTATATATATTTGCTTAATGCCATTATTTATTTTTTAGCAACATTAATTAAGGTTTTATTTTCATTACAGGAGCAAGTTGATCACAAATTAACTTGTCATAAGATAAGATGATACAACATGATTCATAATTAGTGTATTATTTTTAATTAATAGAAAATATGAGTTAAAATGCTAGTTATTATATGCATGTCTCTATATAGTCTTAGATATGTAGGCTTTCTTCGTAGTTTTAATAAATAATGTAAATAATTGTTGTTTACAGATATATAATTATTATAATTAAAAATTATAATTAATAATTAATTTTAATTAGATATGTATACATGTACATGTTTTAAGATATTTTAGAATATATATTATAAAATATAAAAGATGTATAATAATTGCTTTCAGTAATAATGATAATTATAATATTTGATATAATTGTAATATAATTATTGTTATTGAAAGCAACTAAAAAGGTGTACCGTACTAAGTGGAGTGTACTAAGATTTTGTTTTCATTACAGGAGCAAGATGATCACAGAGTATCTGAAAGTCATCGACATCGTGAGAGAAGGGATGATTCAGACGATCGCAGGATGAAAAGGGAGGGAGAGCGGCCTCGGCAAAGAGAGCAAGACAGAGAACAGAACAGAAATAGAGGAAGAGAACGGGATGCCCACCTGCAACAGCAGGCTGAGAGAGAACGGCATAATGAACGGCGG